TTGAGTTTTCTTAATTTGTAACTAAGCCATGTCCATTCTCTTCTCTTTGATAAATAAATAATAAAATTGTTTAATGAATTTTTGAATATTGCAATTTTTAAAGGATACATAATAGCTTTAAAATTAGATATCATCAACTTCATGAACACAAGACATTTTATATTCAATAGTTAATATTTTTGATGGAAAATTATATATCTTTCAATGACTACTACTTCAATGAGCACTACAAAAAGCAGACAAATGGAAAGGAAGGTAATATCATTTCCTATATAAAGTATTTTCATGCACTTCCTACTGCATTTGTTTGAATTTTTTACTAATTAGATTTAAAAATATTTTGTAAAAATATATATTGTATATGATGAATAATATTAGAGATAAATAAATTAAATATTCTTTAAAACTTTTATAATGAATCTAAGATATTAAGTTAAATATTACCTAAAATATATGTTAGGGTTAACGTTAAGATACTTTGGTGAATTACGTTTACAACTCGTACTCGTATATTGTGAAACTAATTTTTATATTTAAATATTTGAAATATTTTATGAAATTCAAAAATTTCATATTTTTTACCCCAAATAAATTGTTGCATGCTTTGTACTAAAACATGCAACAGAAATTCACGTGCACTTTTTAGTCAAAATGCGGGTCATGTTTGTTCCCTCGTATGTGCTGACAATTTCAAGTTGCACAACATTTGCATAAAAAACTAATACACAACACTGGATTTATTGCTGTATATCCACAAAAAGTCAAAACTAGTGTAACATAGTTATTTATTGTACTTTCAGAAAGCTACATAATCCAAGAGCAGAAATAAATAATTAAATAGTCTCATTAGTATATCCCTTTGATCTAAGTACTCGTATTTACCGGAACTGTAGTGATGGATTAGTGTTGTAGCTTTTAATGGCTTGGTTTATTACTTTACATTTAATTAAAGTTCACTTACTTAAATAATTATTTACAATAGTGATATGTCTGGTTTGTACGGACTAAAAACAATCACCC